GTCAGTCTCCCACACGACCGGTCCAAATATATCAACTGCGTCGCGGTCGCCCATGCCAATAAGTGGATTCTCTGGATCGTACGGCTCAGCCCTATGAACTTGCGGAAGTGGTGCGGTGTTCTCGGCGCCAAAGATCGGAGCTGCCGTGCGGTTGTCAGAGACGCCAATGCTGGCACCAGGTTCGGTGCGGCCACGGTTGATCTAGGCATTCCGTTAGCAAAAGTCTATGTTGAAACATGGGGGCAGAAGCGACGCAGCAGGTGGAACAGGGGTCTACCCAAGCAGTTGTTAGATATAGGAGCGCTCCTGAGGTGTCATACAGAGGTATTGTAGCTCTCTGAACGTACCATGACACGCGCAGTTGGTCCGCTGATCGCGCCTCGTCGACGGTTTCCAGGTTGTGTCCGTCCCTGTAGAGCCTCCTTGACGGCACCGGTCTTGATATCTTGCTGCCAGTACGCGACGTCCCACTGGCTGTTGCGCTCGTACTCGTGCCACTCGGCAATGTACAGGGAAAGCTCGTTGTCGTCCAATCGCGCGAACGTGTTGAAGCCTATTTTGCGCATGTAGTAGCATAGTTGCAGCGCTTGCTGTGGAGTCGCTGTCTGATGGTTTGGGATGAGTAGCTCGGTCCACTTCCGAGCAGTCGCGGGCCTGAGGTCGACGGCAGCGTTCTTGTCGAGCCAGGAGAGAATCTTCAGCTGTACGGCGATGAAATCGCGCGACTTCTCGGTCTCGGTATCATCGTAGGGGGTCTTGTCGAGCACTGAGTGCAGGCTGAAGGGGCCCGTGAGCTTTACCATGTTGCTTGCTGGTTGCTATTGAGCTATGAGATTTGAATATAATTGTGCTGTCTGTGATGGCATTAGCAAAAGACCTCAATCCGCAGGGCGATGCAGGCGAGCTGTGGGAGTTGGCAAGACGTGGGGAAAGCAGGGAGAAAAACAGATGAGACTCACGAAGAATAACAGATGAATTCTTGCGCGCGTTGCCATGGCCGCCTCGTTGTCGCGTAACAACGAACGCGTTGTTCTGGTGAAGTGGAGTGAGAGAAATTTGGTGTCGGTGACGGTGAACGCTTGACCCAGCACTGGCGAGACCAATCTGGAAGGCACCGATACCATGCTATCGCCCAGTGACTCATCGCTGCTCGTTGCCATCCGAACTTAACCTGAAGCCGCTTTAAAAGGTAATCTCAGATCGTTACGGAGCGTGGACATGGAGCAAGAGCCCTCCAGAGTGGGTATTACGAGGAGTACCTGGAGAAATGTCTATCAATGTACTAAAGCCACCTCAGGATAGAGTACAAGGTTGGTACGAAGCCATGACCTGAAATAGAAACCCTTTAGGGCAGGAAATACAAAGGGGTAAGATATTCTACTATTAGCCCTGAAGCCACTTTAGTAGTACAGAGCGAGGACTGGGAATAGAAGCCCTTCAGGGTGGGTATTACAAAGAGTGTTCAAAGAGATTCCATTAGTATTGCTGAAGCCAACCACAAAGTATAAAAATGTCCATCGAGCCCTGATATCAGCAGCTAAAGCAGGTATCACCACTCATCCATCAAGCTACTTCAACTGCTTGCCCAGATACACGCTCCGATCCCATATCGGCCTGTCCCTGGTGTTCGGGAAGATCCTTCCAATGCCCTTCAAGCTGCTGTTGAATGCAGAGGCCTGGCTATGTCTCTCGAAGTCGAAACCCACATCTCCGTTGCGGCTGGTCCTGACGCGCATGAGTCCCTCAGGCATAGGCAGGAAGACGTATGAATGGCGCTGATTCGGGAGTATACGCCCTTGTGTGCATCGGGATTGGAAAAGAGCAGCTTCTTGGGAGCTTTGGAAGACGAGGACGGGTTCCAGTGGCTGAAGCGAGAGGAATGCGCTGGTTGGTGAGGGAGGCATTGCGGGCTGAGTTTGTTGTGCTGCTAGACGATTAATTAGCTTTGGGAATAGCAAGGGGACCATACAACTCACGACGTTCGAAAGGAATCTAGAGTTCGCTGAAGTAGTTGGCAGTGTGAGGTGATCGTGAGATTTGAAAGTGAAGGTTTGGGAAGGAAATCATGCCATGGCGAGTCTACTTATCCTCTCTCCTCTGGGCTGTGCGCTGGTCATATTGCTGCCTACAAGATTTCTCAAACCGCTTGTTTGCGCGTGATTGCGCGCGTCGATGCGTTTGTTCTACGGTTAACGCTTGTCGAAGAAGCGGTCTGTCGTTGATATCCTGTTCTGCCTAGCTCGCAAACGGCAAGGCGTTGCACCACAGATGTGGCTTAGCCTTCAGCTCTTCGACCTCGACGCGAACATTCCCTTACAATTGACCAGACCTATACCTAGATTCTGTCACCGGTCACTGATACCAGGAGTTGACACTGAATTGTTCACATCCACTGACTCTAGCCCATTCCGGTGCTTTTTTGCGAGGTGAGGGGCAATGTCGCGGTTCTGGCAGCAATCGATCTGTGACATAGCCCATCCATCAGTGCTTTGATCGGTATGTGCACGTCAAATGTCAGAAGACTCAACAGCAGAAAGCATGACATCATCATCGATATCAGTGGTCGGTGGGTAATTACCATTGACTCGAACTGAAAGAGAAGGCACGATACGAATTGTAAGGCAAAGACGTCCATTAACTTCATCAACCACCAACATGTAAATCACGTCAATGATATTAAATTTTATGTAGGCGATGCCCTAAGAGTACATGACTGAGCTGACTATTATGTGAAAGACCGTAACCTTGAGCGAATGAATCTTCTATCCCTGACAACTTAGTTCAACCTAGTCCTATCTCTTCTGTTGTGGAACAACAAATAGTGACCTCGCAGAATATGCATGAAAGCCCAGGCAACTACGCTTTGACTCTACCGACCTCCTTGGCGTTCACATGACTGTACATCCGCCGCAGTCACAGTCACAGTCACAATCGCCACAGCAGCAGCAGCAGCAAGTCTCCGTGCTGTTCTTAGTGTCCTTAGGATACTTGTATTTCTTTATCTTGTACTTCTTGTCGCCTTCCGAAGAGTGCCTGTGCTTCTCCTGGTCGACAGTTGTGGCAGCCTGGGGTTGTGCGACCATGGCCGGCTCTGTAGGGTACGCCGGCTGGCCATCTTGCCTAGCTCGGCCGTCAAGGGTCTTTGGATTCGACATTGCTAGCGGGAATTCAGAGAACCATGTGTTGGTGTAATGTCTTGAGTGGTTTCGTATAACCCTCGTTCCAAGGGAAAGTCCTGCACCCTGGTGTAGATATGTCAGATCTCCTCGCAGGGTCGTGTATCGCAGGTTTTCTAGTATGTCGTAGGTCTCAAATTGCGGGTCAGTGGTTGCTTCGTTGCTCAGGTTCATGTCGTCGCGATCCCAAGTGCGGTTATAGGCTTTCACCTACTCCATCAATGCAAACGCGGACATTCACCACTGGAACATTGAAGTCACGCACCAAATCCAATTCTTGAAGCGCAACACAATATAAAATGTTTGATAGAGTATCTACTGACAGTATTCTACCTGCCCCACTTATTATCGATCTTTTTTTTGTCAGCTCTGAGCCACTCATCGACACCGTCCCAATCTACTTTCCCTTCATCCATGTTTTCGATGCCTTCTGGCTCTGACAGGACCTTTGTCTTATGCTCTTCTTCCTCGAATCTCGCTCGTCTCCCTCTAAATTGGTTACTTTCACGATGACAGCTTACGCGCAATGAACGCAAGGCAGAGGAGGGCTATGTGATTAGTTTTGAGATTGATAGTCAATGCATTCGAGCACCAACACTTGTGTTTGGCTGGGCCTAGGCAGCTACTCGACCTTCCATGACGAAGAACACCTCCACCCTTTCTCATCTCAGCAAGGCTCCGCTCCGGGTGGCTATAGCTCGCTAGCAAGCTTTGAGAAATTCCACGGCGGAGCTCTTTCAAGGCTTCTCCTGCGAGTTTTGCATAATCATAGAGTAGTAGGTTCGGAGTACAGTATGCTAGGCGAGATATCGGTGAATGATCTGAGGTACTATACCAAGTGAATTCAAATTAAACTATCTGCAGCCTGTCACGGCACATATACTGTGGCGATCATGGCTGTTCAAGAAACCAGTCAGCTTGAATCCTTTTCTGGGTTCCCTACGCTCCCTTCTGTCTGTTTTTGCCCTATTTCTTCTTCGCATCCTCCTCCTTCCGATTCTCAACTTCCCGCCAAATGCTTGTTATCGCCTTCTGTCTCGTTTCGTCAGTAAGGGTAGACTTCTTGACCTGGTTCTGCTGAGGGGCATTGGGGGTACTAGGCTGTGCTTCTTGACTGGTAATGTCGCTGGTAGTAGATTCCGATTTGTTGGCAGTAGGCATCTTGCTATGATCTTGCTCGTCCTTGTGTTCTGTAGAGAGTTCGTAGAAAATATATGCTTGACTGATCAGTGTAGTCTAGGTATCCGTTGTATTTGATAGATGTTGTTGAAAGGAAGAAAGAGGAAGTGGAAGCTTTTTTATATACCTTGTATGACTCCTGCATTGTGAGTCTAGTCAGAAGAGCGCACTCACTGATGTCGCTATAATGACAGTACTTGACTAACGCATGATCACGCGGACAGTGCGTTCTGGAGCTGAGTATTCAGCGTCTATGTATAAAGAGACAGGTCTTATTCAGAAGATAATTAATATCCAATATCTTCAACGCTTGAAGTAGGGGTTATCCTACCTATTTAGTCATCGAAATTCAATGTACTGTTAGATAGTCGTTCAAAATCCAATATTGTTACTTAAAGTTTTTTTTCCAGTTTTTTTTTCTTAGTCTGCTACTATAATAAAAGGAAACTGATCGATATAGCCTGTATATCTGTCGAAATAACTTCATAGTTCGTACTCGTATATGTAAAAAGTCCTCTTCCTCGTCTTATAGTTGTGAATCTCGTTAAAAAAAAAAATGGCAATTGTAATTGTAATCATGCTATGAGACGTCAAAAAAGATAGAGCAGCCTAAGCGGGGTTGCTTTGTCTCCAAAAAGAAATCTTTGACCATGCCAGGGGTCGAACCTGGAATCTCTTGATTACACTGATATCGTAGTCAAGCGCCTTGCCATTCTATGATTACTTAGCACTAGTTCGAACAAGGAGCAAGGTTTTAACTTACGGGCCACATGGCCTTCGAAGAGGATTATTGCAAATTTTGGATTACGATGTAAATATACATCTTTTTAGAAACTGGCTCGAACGGTGCAGGTCCTGACTGCAAGCGAACTGAGCCACCGAATGCGGGAAGCCGAGAACGCGGCGCTTAGCGAACCGCAATGAATCACTGCCAGCCTTGAACTTCAACGACGTAGGCAGCAACATCTGCAAGTCTTACCATGGAGTCATTCCCGCACACGAACCTGTTGCTTCATAAGTTATTCCTCCCTTGGTCGTTATATGCTACTATACGTGGTTGATTAGCAATCGCCGAAGAATCAAGTCCGAAGTCCGTCTCGGCATCCATATAATGTCCACCCAGGACGCGCCCAGCTCGACCTTTCCTGCCCTCGTCGCCAACTTCGCATCCGAAGACCTTGTGTTAGGAGCAGGTGTTGCGATCTTCCACATTGCTTCTGGACGTGTCGTAATATGCAGTGCCAAAGACCGCTACGACAGGAAGTACTACTTCTTACCGAAGGGTCGACGAGATGCTGGGGAAGAAAGTGGGCGAGGCGCTGAGAGGGAGGGTTACGAAGAAGTATGTCAAGGATCCTCGAGATCAGATACTACAGCAGCTCACCTATACTAACAAGTCGTTGCTCAGTCTGGTTACCGCAACCGTCTCCTCCCGTTACCCATAAAGAATCTACAGCCTCAAGCACACCCACGCGTCTCGAATCCTCCACTGACCGCCGAACCAGTCTGGATGCAGCTCATGCCAGTGGGATATCGCTCCAAGCAATATATCCTTTTCTGGTATATCGCCGAGACATTGCCGCCAGATCTTGAGAAAGAGCTGGAAACAGAGGCAGGAGCCACCTACAAGCCCCCTCCAGCGTATCCGCACAACTTAACACTTCGCGACCGGGTGAAACTGGAACCGAAGGATTACGAGCCGGTACACCACGAGGGCACTGGTGTTGATGAGGAAGAGCAAACCTACGAATCTTACTTGGTGCCGGTACATGAGGCCATCGCCAAGCTGGGTAGGAACGGTGTTATGGCCGATGTGGTGTCAAGAGGATGGAAGGCCATACAAGAGCGATTGGCAATGGAAGACCACACTGAACCGTTGTCTACATCGCCGGACGAGATGGCCTGACAACCAAAGGCTCAGGCGTTGGAAGGTGAAGACGAAGGCTTGGAACAGAAGGATGTGAAAAAGGAGGAAGGCATCAAGAAGTCTCGATTGCGACGGCTCTTTGGCAAGGCACTTCGCTACTAGACGTAGATGATTATGAGTTCGAAGAGAGCGAACGTCTTCTCAGCGCCCCAACGGTTCAATGAGGACGAATGTACGACAATTCCTACGTGATCTCACAGGACCGTCTTCAAATTGGTTAAATTCTACCAGAAGAGCTTAATGTGAGATCAAACTATATCTTCACTTGGAAGCACATCAGGACCCGATCCAACGATCTGTTACTGCACAAGCTACCAACAGATGTGCTTTCACCGCTCGATGCGTTGCCTAGAGTCGCGAAACCCCTAGGCAAGCGATCAAGCTGCTGAGCGGCCCAATCAAGCTGGCAGCGCAGTCTCAATGGTGAACGCAGCATTTGGCTCACAATTCAAATACTCTCAACCACATTCTATTTCCCGTCCGTTTCGCAAATGCGTGGCGAGATCGCGCGTTAATTTTCCCCACTCTTCGCTCCTCTGAACTGGTTTTCTGGTATCGGAAGCGCTTCAAGGCCCTACACACGGTCCTTCCTACGCAAGGATTGGCCTGCCAGCTAAGAATCCGTCGCTCCCTCTCGCCCGCCCCAACCACAACGATCTGGTAGCTCTTGCACAACGCTGCGAGATGAACATTTCCAGCGATCCCACCTTCATCGTCGATTTCCCAATCAAGACCAGTCCATCAGCTTCCAATTCCTGTTCTTAGTCGATTGCATCAATCTATTTATGTACGCACGTGCCACGCAACCCCATGTCTCGCTACCTTCCTTCTTCTCCCGCACACGTGCCAGCATTTAATATCGCACCCCACAAATTTCATATCTACATATTGGCCCCACCAAAGTAAGTTGCTCTCGTTACCAGTCACTCGAATGAAGTCATCCAGGTATCTGTCATTGTTCCACAGCAATAGCTGCATCAAACTACCGAACGAATGCGGGAGGCTTAGAAAAGCCGAAGCATCAAGCCATTGCGGCAGAACTGGTTAAAAGCACTACGAGCCCCCAGCAGCCCCCATGATCCTGTGTCTTATTACTCAACGTATCGCGAACGATTGCGAAAAATTGGTATGACGATGTGCGACCGTTGACAAATTCAAGAGTAATTCTCCGATCGAAGGATCATGCTGGAGGCTCTGAAGCGATCTTCATGTGAAGAGGTGGTAGCGGTGAAGAGATTAGACTGCAGATGTATGTACTGTTATCGTTCCTTGTGGTCTGTGCGAGTACTTGGCCATGTACTGACCTTACAAATTAGGTAAACAGTGACCCAACGTTCGAGAGTCGCTACATGCGTGGGAGCAACAAACCTTCCTATAGTGACCTTGACCGATATCGCGACACCATCTCGAAGCTCGCATGTCGCCGATAACAAAATTCGCTAGGCATCAACGGAAGGACCGATTTGGGTACATCGCATCTCGCGCGAGCGCACCCGGCATGCGAGATGCATAGTCGCATAGAGCTGTCAAAGCATGCAGTACAACCTTCATGGCCACCTCCCAACTACTCAGCGGCTCGCATGATAAATTCGGAGTTCTATCATCAAATGGAAGCTGAAAGATGATTCTCGGAGCTGTCTTCCGCTTCCATGGATGATCTCAAAATCGCCAGCCAAGCTTCGTGCACATGCATCTCTGTCAGGAAGCACATGCGGTATCTGGATGGTTCGCAGCGATCACCAACCAGCTTCAGAGTCCGAGATGGAAACCATGCTCGAAGCTGAGGGAAGCACCATCTAACCGGTGGTAGAAAGACTTCCTTGTCACACAAGGTCTTCAGGACCTCCTCCGCAAGACATGCATCTGCGTCTAGAAGGCATGCCGTGGAGCATCATCCGCCATTACCCGCACCAATACGATGGGCAGAGAAGAAGATAATTGAATATACTTCGACCTTGTTGTTCAATGCAAGACCGTTTCTGGGATCACTGCCGCATCCCGCATTCTCGCTTCGATCCTGTACGATAGCACGCCTGCTATTGACGGTCTGGACTTGAGGTGAAGAATACGAGGTGTAACCATAGGTATAGCTGAACAAGAACACCAAGCTTCATCGCAGTACACAAGCGATATTGAATATCCTTCAATCTACTTGGCTTTGAAAGCTTCGGTTAGTCGCGCTCCAGGTTGACTGCTTTCTCCTTGCCATATCAAGTTTGGGAATCAATAATGTTGATGCATCTGCCGGTGCGGTCACTTCGTGGAATGCGGGACTCTGTTGCCACCTAACAATACGTGCCCATCCTAGCTGAGCGACAACTTGCGGAAGCAGGTTTGACAGGCCTCCTTCGACAAGATGCTGGCACAATCCTGCCCCACGGCGACAGAATTACAGTTAGGTAGTCCTTGTGAAGATGGAGGAAGCCGTACATCTGCTGGGTAACCTACAGAGCAGACAAGCAACATCAATGCTTCTCATGCAAGCCACACTAATTCTTCCATCCTGTAAACAGCCTTCCGACTTTTCAAGTCCAAAGCAGTAACTTCCAACTTCTGCACAGCTCCAAGATCACCTCCCGGGGAATCCGCCTTCGTATCCGGATCTCCTCACGGCAACGAAACAACACCACGCCGCCCAACAACAGGATCCAAAACAACGGCCAGGAACATCAATGCAGAGCAGATCCCACGTCATAGCTCGTCGCATAACCAACAATGGCACAGCAATCGGTCGCCATAGCCACCGACAACCGATGTATTGGCATCGCATCCTACGGACAATCCCGTTCTTCGCGCGACTGCGACTACTCTCCCTGCCAAGGAAGTAACATTCTTAGTCGTGAAAGTATGCGCCCCTAGGCCTTATCGCAAACCTCCAAGGCATACCGATGCGCTTTGCGCTTTGCGCTGCGCAGGCCAGGTCAGGTTGGGCAGTCGTAGACGAAGTCGACACGCAGATCAGGCACTCGTGAGGCTCCGAAAAGTAAAGCCGTTAGCCTCTCTGCCTCAGCGCCTCAACTCTTGGAAATATCTGGTGACATCTGTAACGCGAGAGCCCTCACCATAGAGCTAGCCTCGAACCAAGGTATACGTTATCACGTCGCTGAGCAATCCATCACAAAGCAGAGCTGCTACATCGTACAAGTGCAACTGAAGCACGCACGCGTAGTCTGGCGACAAGCCATCGTTGTACGATAGCGACGAGTGGTTGAGAGGCTGCGATAGATGGTGGACGCTGGCGCAGGAACGCGCATCATTGTGGGGACGCGCAAGTTTAGTGGCGCACGCCACGCGAAAGTTTCACCGTTGATCCCTCGTCTACCACCAAATGAAGGCTTGGGGTCGCAATGACGATCATACGTTGATTTTGTAGCGTGGTTCGCTGGCTTCAGCCTCCACAACAGTTGATCCCCCGCTCTTCTAATACCATACTGATATGATAGTTATATACAAATCCAAGCGATATTATGCCTGCGCCCAAGATGGAGAGAGAGATGGAGATAGATTTGAAGGACATAATTGGGATGAGCCACGTCTATCTACGTCGCGAGCCAATGTTGCCCTTTTGTTGCCTTCGCGGATAGCGAGACAACGAGATAAGAGTATCGAAGGAAGGTAAGAATCTACAAGAAGGCACAAATGTAAGAGAAGTTCTTCAGCCATTAAATCCCGTCAAGATAAGATGGAAACACAGATCTTGTCATCATCAGATCAATCCAGATGGCGATACACGTTGAAATTCACAAACAGATCGAAAAGGCTGTCGTGAGATGGTCGTGACGGTATGCGAGGATGTTGATGCT